TATAACACATTATGTCTTTATTCAACAAATATTTATTCATCAATTTTGAAGTGCAAGTGACTGCTGTAGATGTTGAGAATGCACTGCTCAGCAAGGGAAGTTAAGTGTCTCTCATATGTCTGATGTTTTAGTACATGTGTGTTACTCACTGCCGTCGAGTCGGATTCGACTCATAACAACCCCTCCTTGGGCTTCCAAGGCAGTATCACTACGAAGTAGACTGCCCAACCTTCCTTCCAAGGAGTGGCTAGTGGGTTTGAACTGCCAGACTTCTGGTTAGCAGTCAAGTGCCTTAGGCACTATGCTACCAGAGCTCCTAGTACATGAGGGTAAATAATCAATAAATAAACCAAACTAAAACAAAACAAAAAACATAAAACAATTAGTGTTAAATGATTTACAGACATATACCAACATAATTTAATCTAGAAGTAATTTCCTTAATTAAATCCCTGGCTGGTAATATGAAAATCAGGGAGATATTTTCAACCCAACAGATAATTAATTTTCATTCTTTTGGCAGTAGTATTTGAAGATCTTACGTTGTGCCTTATTTTTATTTCCTACTTGAAATTATGAGTGTATAGTGTAACAACAAAAAACCTGATGGGTCACAATCAGTTCTAAGATTTAATCTATTTTCCCAGAAATAGTGGCCAAATTTATATTTTAAAATTTACTAGATTCAATTTATATAATCTAGTAATTAAAACAACTGATGCTTGGAAATTTCTATCATTCCCAAGCGTGCATTATCAATATATTCCATTACTTATCTACTGAATTCTCTAAATAATTTGTGGAGACCGGGGCAGAATGAAAATGTGGAGCCCATGTGAAAAAATTAACAATTTCCAGCTAGTGACAGCAGATTATTAGACTAAGTAGGAGACCCTGCTAAGCAAAGCATTCTGTCCAACTGCAAAAGTCACACACCAATGCAGCTAGATTGTTTATATATACCACTCTTGCCAAAGACTACACAACACAGAACCTATTCCCTTGTGTTTTGAAACTCTTTGAAAACTTACTCAGAGTAATGTTTCTTTTCTTAAGGTAAAATATCCTTTTGATAATTAGAAGAAACAGTTCATGTGACTGAAATGCTAAATTCATGGTGTGATGCTCATTATAGAATTAAAAGGAAACATCAGACAGGGGAAACAAGGTAAAGTAAATAAAGTAATTCAGTTTCTATGTATAAGCTTAGTTACCTCATCAATTACAGTTATAAGCAGCAATAAACTCTTTCCAGGTTCTTAGTGAAACTTTCTATTTATGAAAAATAAAATAATTATGTTTCATTAGGAAGAGTTCTCTATACTGAAATTCTCAATATATAATATCTTTTTTTTGGAAAATATTTCACCATTTCCAATTCTACAAAAATACTATTACATAAAATTCCCAGATCAGAAAGTATAAGTCACTGTCCAGATGCAACCAACTACTAGATAGTTTACATCTAGTAAGGACTCTCCTCTCATTATCAGTTGGTTAAGAACTAAGGGGAGGGGGAAATAAAAGTTGAAACTTTATTTTCATCCTGTCTTTGGGAGGCAGAATTCTAACATGGCTCCCAAGATTTCCTGTGCATCTGGTGCCTATGCCTTGAATAATCCAAAAGACTGGAAGATGCCACAGGTTATGTTATATGGTACAGTTGATTGTTAAAAAAAAAGAGAGAGAGAGATTATCTTCATGGGCCTGAAGTAGTTACATGAGCTGTTAAATATCAGAGGTTTTTTTTTTTTTCCCTTTTTCTTTTTCTGGTTGGTTACAGAAATTGAAAGGACCACCTAGAAAGAAATGTAGGTGATCTTTAAGAACTATGTAATAATAACATTGTACCATACAATGTGACTGGGAAAATATTTTTAGTTTTCATTTTTCCAGATGTTCCCATAAAATTAATGCATATAGTTCATGGCAGTCAATACTGTTTTTGATAGTAGATCTGTTTGTATGCCAACTTGACTTAAATGCCTTTGCCAGTATGCTGAAAGTATCAGTAGGCAGGGGACTATGCATTTCAACTAAATGGTAGGGTTAGTACGGTATCTGGGGTATTGTTGGTAATGAGTAAACATTTTATGGACAATAACAATAAATAACATTCTTTTGAAAATAAGTTTTTTATATAGTTACTTCCCTGTATCTTTTCTCCTTTGCAGCTAAATGTTTTGAAAGACATGTTGAATTATCATACCTTCCATTCTTTCCTTGAGCCATTCTAAGCCAGTTTTCATGCCATTGCTTCACTAAATGTTTCTGTAAATATCCAGAAATTTTACTGTTGTTAATTCAAAGTACAGCTTTCATTCTCCAGTTTATTCAAATTATTATCAATATTCCACAGAGTCAACTACTTGCCCCTGAAACATCCTTCTCATTTGGTTTCTCCCTCACTTTCTAACTCTCTTCCAAACCAAACTCACTGCCCTCGAGTTGGATCTGACTCATAGCGACCCCACCAGCTACTCCTCGGAAGGAAAGTTGGGCAATCTACTTCCATAGAGATACTGCTTTGGAAATCCAAGGAGGGGTCACTATAAGTGAGTTGAGTCAACTTGACGTCAGTGAGTTTTGTTTTTTGTTTTTTTAAGGTAATTCTACAGTTTGGGAGAACTTACAAAACTAGAGCCTTGGCTGAATTTTCCAGGTAACTTAACAAATCACTTGGGGAGGAAATCAAGCAGGTTGGAGAACAGGTGTCTTGTGTTGGATAACCTTCCTGGTAATAGTGAACTCTCTGGGGTAGGGCAGCTGGATTTGCAATATCATGCGTGGTAATCTCTCTCAAAATAGTGCCACTGGGCCTCAAATACTGCTCTTCATGGTAGGTATGGCCCCTGGTTCAGAATAGCTATTTAAGCCAGGGAAGATTTATGGGAAAGAACTGCTTACAAGGAAAAAGATATTTTCTTCAATTTTATTTTCTTCTTTCCTTCTTTCCTTCCTTCCTCCCCTGCTCCCTTCCTTTGCTTTTCATTTTTTTAAGAGTGTAGTCCCAGAAATATTTCTCTCTGATATATAATGAGTTGGACACAAAAGACCATATTAGAAATCAAAGACATCTGAGGCAGTAGAAATATTCTGCTCCAGACAAAGTGTATGAAAAATTCCACTTTTCTTGAGAAAAGTTCATCAGAGTAGTCAATCAAGACTTTGGAGTACGAGTCTGGTAAATTATACCTCATACTTCCAAACCCTATACACTATTAATGGTTGAGATTTTCAAAAATTTACTTAACATCATAAAATTTAAAAAAAAAAAAAATACTTAACATCATATGATCCTGCTGTGTTGTTATGTGCCGTCAAGTTGGACCCGACTGATAGCAGCCCCTCCTTGAGTTTCTGAGGCGGCATCACTACAGAAGTAGATTGCCCAACGTTCCTTCTGAGGAGTGACTGGTGGTTTTGAACCACCAGACTTCAGGTTAGCAGTCAAATGCCTTAGGCACTACGCTACCAGAGCTTAAAAAAAAAAAAGATGTATCCTAAGCATTCTATCTCCAAAAATACAAACCCACTCATATACTATTCTATAAAGGACAGAGCCCCAAGAGAAAATGGTTGTCATCCAAACTGTTTCTGTAGAAGCTGTGTCAGTGGTCAGATCTGGAGAAGTACGTCTGATATATGCATTTCCTCAGCAGAAAGAACCCATCTCAATGGTTGTGTATAGATAGCTGTACATATGGAATGAATTCTCCTTCTACCTAAGGTGTGTGTTGTAGTAACTATATATAGATTCCTGGGTCTATTCTGTAGTTGAAACATTTATCAAAAGGATAATCATGCTCTCAAAAAATCCATATATACATTCTTTCTCTTACTTCATGCTAACCTTTCAGGAGCATTAAGAATACTCATTATTCTCATCTACACTTGTTTCTTATCTTCCTTCTTTAGGACAGATATGGTTGAATGGACATACATTCCTTAACTTCGATGCATGTCTAACATTATTTCTCTCTGTCTTTTTCTGGATCTTCCTCTTTTTTTTCCATCTAAGAGTCCAGTATACCTAGAACGGCCCCTGAAAGTCTCTTCTAGAGACTCTGCAATGTGATACAATTTTATTTTTGCAATGTGGTACTATTCTAAATTAAATCACACATTATCCAAATATCCTGCCATTAATAATTAAAATGTCTCTTTCTTAAGGAGGATGCTAACAGAGATGTCTGCATAGGAATATGACAGTGTATGGCCAAAAGTCTGTCAAAATTTTTCAAGTAAGTTGGTCAGTTGTTGACAAATACTTTCTTTTTTCTTCTTTAAATTAAGGTTAAATATGAGAAACAAAATTCAGACTATGAGAAAATGCTATGGATCCATAATTCCATGAAGCTGTGTAAAGTGAAGAACACTGAAGATTTGGGGATATTTCCTCCTAGTAGAAGCCCAACAAGTCCCATCTTAACTTCCGTGGTGTGAAACCCATAATTGTGAGATAAACATTTCTTATCTAGTGTCCGATAAGTAGTAGTGTGTTTTCTACTTATTGGAGGATAATTTTTTTATTTTTCTCTCACTCACTGAATTTAATTACCTGGTCTTCAGATGATTTGCTTTAGTAAAAATGCCTTTGAAATATATATTCAATGCATTGCTGTACATTGCTAATCTGCAGGGACAACTAGGAGGCTAATGAAAACAGGGGTAAAATTTCAAAAGGTGGAATAAATTAGGCTTTCTATCTCTGTCTCTCTCTCTCTCTCATTTTTTTTTTGTGATATAGCCAGAGAAAGATGTAATAAGAAGGGTAAATAAAAAAATATAGTTCAAGGAAGAAGCCAAAGTTAATACCAAAGGCAAGAGATGTTACTGTAGAATTTTGATGAAGCAAGAGGTCAAGAGATAATGTTTGGAGGCAAGTCCTTAAAAGTATATTTGCTAAATATAGAATATGTGCCAGAGTTCTCTTAAAGTAAAAGTCTGACAAGATTGTGCCTTACCTTAAAAATCTTCATTATTCTTAGGAAACAATCAAAATTGTTTAGCCTGGCACATAAAGGCACTGGTTATTTCTGAAAACTCATTTCATAACACTTTCTCACATAGTTAACTCAAATCTTCTTTCACATATGCTGTTTATCCTCCTAAAATTTCCCTACCACCACCTATTTCCTACTCTGAAACTAGGTAATGTTACTCAAATTTTATGACTCAGTCCAAGTTACCCAAGAAACATTTTATAATTTCTAATTTTGAAAAATACATCAACATTGTACTTTCATGGAATGTTATGTTTACTTTTACTGTAGTCATTATCATATTGTAATTTTTTCTTTATGTATTTTGTTCTTTAGGTAACCTAGACATTTTTTTTACAGCAAAAAAAT